TAAAACGGGAGGATGACACACGGGGTAGGAACGTATACCCGAAGTTTCAGCCTCCCAGCTTTCCTGATTGCTGAGATGAAAGTGGGCAACAAAATACGCTCGCTTCCGAACACACGCACACACACACAGCCCCTCGACAATATGCTTTTCTGGTCGCTGCACAGCAAAAACGCATAAAAAAGCACAAGAACTAACATATGGAATCTAAATCAAAGCTTTCTTTTTGGCTTGCGAACAAATTTGATACTCCTTTGAGGAAGGAGCTTCGCGGTGGTTCAGGCATATCAACAGGCACAAATAAATCGCCAACCGATTCCTGCACTTGACTCGCCAATTCCGTGCATACTGTAAATTTCTGAACCTGAAACAAAAAAAAAGTATAGAAACGCTACCCGTGCTTCTTACCAGGATTACCAAGATCGCTAAAACAATTAGCGTGGAGCCCTCGATGTTAATGCATTCTTCATCAGTGTCAAAAAAAAAATCGCTCAGAAATTACCAGTGCTGAAATTCTGCTGCTAATACTGTTCATCAGGAGTACCACGGCTGTTTACACTACCACTGCGAGCTCCCAATATTAATGCTCTTCACTAGGACCACCGAAATCCCTCGGATTACTGCTTAGGAACCCCCGATGCTACTATCCTCCACGATTACTACAGAGATCGCTCAATTTATCACTGCGCAATTCATTTTTGTGATTATGAATCTATTATTATTATTATTATTGTGATTATGACCAATATTAATTATGATTATCATGAGTAATAAAAAAGAGTAATAAAAATAATAATTGCTACAGCCATCAAATTATTATTCTTAACACTATATGATCACTAAGCTACATATAAAAATTCCATTAAATGACCATTACACAGAATCAGCCAAAGTTCCACACAACTAACACAATGGAAAAGTGAAATTGTATTTTTCAGATTACGAAATCTTTAAACGATTCACTAACCTCGGAAGGCGTTATTGTATACATACCCAGGCCGTGCTCCGAAAATGAAGTTTTCATGCACATGCTAAAACACGAACAAATCCGAGAGAACATCTTGATAAGAATGATATTTAAATGAATTCTTCCCAAAAAAATACTTCGGCTTTTAAAGCACTGTGCAAAATTTTCATATATGCATATCAAAACCAAGGTCAACTGCCCATGAAATTTCAGCTTTCTATCTTGTCTGATTCTCAAAATCTTCCATATTTCATCAGTTATGCGAAACATATGAAAGATGCGCAAAATTTGCATATACCAGTGCTAACGATAAAGTCAAAACTATCTCCATATTTATTCTCTACGAAAAGTGGAGACAATCAAAATTAGTCCGAATTGCAGCAGTTGCCAAAAGCAGCCGTCCTTTAGTAAGCTGTCGATAATTTTCCCTTTATGGGATTACTTTGAAGTTAGCAGATGGCATACAATACGACCAAAAAACCAGAAAACTGGATATGTGCTAGTAGTTTTACTGCATTTGAGTTAGATGCTATTATGAAAAATTCAAACGAAAAAAATTTAAAAACTAAAAAATCATAAGAGCAATCACGCTAGAAGCAGGTGTAAAAATAAGACATACGGATCGTCGTAATCAATGGAATGCCGAAAAAGGTTTGAGCAAAGAAGAAGCCTTAAAGATGGAAGGCTCAATACAACAATCTGTCCAGCTCCATTTAAAAGCATTAGTACAGGGCGACCACACACGTGTGTTGCTTGAGCCTAAAAATAGTACATTTTCACCAAAGGTTTCAGCTTTCAAGACTTTACACTCAATCCAGCAAATAACACCGGCTGAATCGGACGAGATGGTGACGCCCAGTATTATTACATGTCATCCAAAGCTACGTCAAGCCCTTCGATTTCTGAGCCGCATACCTCCTGCTCGTACACATCACTTGTACGACATATCTGCGTCACTTCCTCAAGAGTCACACAAGCGGTCGTTTACTCCCATCAGTACAGAACGACTATCAGTTGTCAGCAAGACGAGCAAAGTGCCTTCCTTGCCCATCGGATTTTATTTTCTCGGGTGACCGCAATGCCATCTTGCATGTCGCTCATCGGATCGAAAGCTTGACTGTTTATATGATCACGAAAAGACACGCCAGCTTTTGCTCTTCTATGTTCGTAAGTGGCCACTTTTATGCGCTTTTTGCAGCTATGCAATGGAGAAAACGCATATTGAGGAGGAGCTGTCTGTGTGTGTGTGTGTGTGTGTGTCCGTGTGCCCGTGTGTGTGTCTGTCACGCTTTTTCATCTCAAGACCTACAAAAGCTACAGGGCTGAAACTTTGGGGACTTAATCTCCATGCACGTACGGGCCCCAATCCCCAAAATGGGCGCCATTACCCGCGTGGGATGCTTCTTAACAGTTCTGGCGGCCAGTCTGAAATTCTTTTAGCTAGAAGCATCTGCTGAAAAAACCAGTGCCGTTGGCGACAAAAATCTGCGGGGAGCTATGCAAAAAAACGCATCTTCGCATGGGCAGCCCGTGCGTTGGCCAATTATATTATTTCTTTCTATAGGAAAACACAGTTAAAAAACACAAATAAAACATAAGTTTCACAACAAAAATTCACCTTAACGAATGGAATCTCTGGGCGATGCGAAAATAATTGAGTAAAATTCGGTAACCCTACCACATATGCTTCATCTTCGGATACCAAAACAGCAAGCTATAATTATGGAACATGATAATGATGGTCAATAATTTGTACAGTTATACGGTTTTATTCGGTCTGTCAAATTAAATGACTTTTTGAATTTTTTTGAAAAAAAAATGATTTTTCTCGAAAATTACCTGTAAAAATTCATCTTCCTTTGAGAGCTCTGAGGCATTTGAGCAAGTCGGCGAAAGACTCGGCTTAGTAAGAAGTTTATTTGGATAATTCCGTTTTTCTTCCGCTCCTGGATTTTCTCGCTCGCCTTCCTGAATTGTAGGGATTCTGTTTTTAAAAAAATCCGGCTCAGATATTATTTTTCAGTGTAAAAATGCATTCAGAGAATCCACAATTTGTTTTCAAATGTATCATGAAGTTTAGCAGATAATGCTCACACCTTATCACGATAATTGTCCGCAGCACCTACTAACAAACAGAAATCGTGATCCATAAACGCTGTGTACAACATACGTCCTTTTGCTTGAAGCACAACACCTAAAAAATGTTTATGATACTCGAAACAGAGCGAACATCAGCAAGTGCAGCATTGGTCAGAGAAACCGGAAAAATTTCTAGTAACGTTAATAAAAAAAAATTCATTACGAATGAAGAGTTCCAGACATTACCAATACGAAAAATTGGCCAACGCACGGGCTGCCCGTGCGAAGATGCGTTTTTTGCAGAGTTCCCCGCAGT